GCTTTATTATGGAATCTAGTTCAAGAAGCAGTTTCTAAATACCTTCAGTGTACAGTTATAGTTTTATACTTTGAAATTGTTGATTACATTTATTGGTTGAGTGAGTGAGTGAGTGTTCATTTGTACAACTGTGTACAAATGTATCCATGTGTATACATGTGGGTGTTGGGGGGGGGAGAAGGGGGGAATGGGCGGGTGTTGGGGGCTGGGGGGATGTGTAGGTGTTAAGTGCGTCCTAGATTGAATTCAGGTCGTCAGCCTTCACAGTAGGCACCTTTTTCCAACAAGCCATCTTGCTGGCCCTATCTGTGTACATTTAGGAAGGGAGGATACGGGTGAAGGCACACCACCTCAGAGCATGTTGTGGTTTTCAGGGATCAGGCTCAAGTTGTTCTTCAGGTTTGGTGGGCAGCACTTGAGGTTGCTGCACCATCCTCTGCTCATCTGTGGCTTTAGTTGTGTTCCCAAACTGCATTCCATCTGCCTTCTGTTGCCCTTTTCCCTCTCTCCTCGTCCTCCTCCGCGGCTACTGTTCAGTCTTTATTATTATCCAGTGGGAGTCAGTGACCAGTCATCAAATCCTGTTCCTAGGAAACAGTTCTGAATGGTTTACTTAGGAGATCTAAGACGAGGCCAGGATGACAACTGCCTGGTGGGAGAAACAGACCCTCACTACATAGCCTTCAGCTGCTCTTCAGGCATGTTTTTCAAAAGCTTTTCCAAGACCAAGTCCACACCAAGCCCTAAACCCTTGGTGTGTGGCTCAGTACTGCTCAGTTCAGGTTATTAACCGTCCAGATCATTTTTATTTTTTCTTATTTGGTTTAGTTTTTATTTTGGAGTCTTCCTGTCTCACTCTACTCAGCCTGGCTTTGACCTCATAACAATCCTCCTGCCTCAGCCTCCTGAACAGAGATTACAGGCATGAACTGTCATGCCTGGCTTCTAATCGGTTTTCTGACATGACTCAAGAATGAGCTGAATAAGGGAGAAGTTGGGGGTCTAGTTATGTGATAATAAGTCAAAGGTCACACATGGGAAGGACATGCTTGTAGGAAACTTCACCTAAGGAGTCAAGCCTTTACTCAGGACTAAAGAAAACTATTAAAAATATACGTGTCTTATGTGTATGAATGTTTTGTCTACATGTATGTATGTGCACCACATGCATGCATGCCTGGTACCCACGGAGGTCAAAAGACCCCTAAAACCGGGATTACAGATGGTTTTCAGCCAGCGTGTAGGTTCTAAAAACTAAAGCCATGTCCTTTTTCAAGAGCAACAAGTGCTTTTAACTATGGAGCCATCTCTCCAGTCCCTAAGCTTAAAAAAAAAAAAAGTTGTAAACTCTCTGATTGTTATAAGCCAAACACCTTAGCAGTGATAGCTAAAAAGATCTTAAAATAAAGGGAGGAAAGGAAGGGGAGTGGAAGCAGCTGACACAGGCCTTGGAAATGGCTTACAGTTTGCAAGACAGACTAGCCTAGCTCACTTTCCTTTAAAGGCAGTAGAAGCTACACCAGGCTTGGAGCAGTAAATGTAAATCTGGAATGAGACCTTTGGTCTCAGATTACAGGAAGTTAGGCTTTGGATTTACTGTGTAGCTGGAAGTTCACTGTGACTGCCCTTGGACCAGACTTAGTCCTAACCAGCTGGGAGAACTTCTGAAGTATAACAAAAGCTTCTGAGAAGTTTCAGAAACAGTTTTGACCAGACAACATGAGGCAGAGCCATGAATCCAAAATGTTCTCTTTTCTTTTAAGATCAGATTGTGTAGAGATTCTCAAGAAATGTGGAGACCAGAATAAATTCCCTGAAGACCACACGGCTGAAAGTATCTGTGAGTTTCTGTCCCCTGCAGATGACCTGGAGAACTGTATACCTCTGGATCCGTACCTCAGTAAGTACTGGGTGGGTTTGGTTTTAGAGTTCATGTGCTTGTTTCACGGCCTCTGCTCTTGTTCCCTGCCTTGGATGAGAACTATTGTTCGATGATACCATCTGCATTAGTTACTTTCTTGTTGCTGTGACAAAAATACCCAACAAAAGCATTTTAATGGAGGAAGGGTTTACTTGGCTCACAGTTCAAGGGTACAGGGGGCAACCATGGCAACAGGAGTGGGAAGCAAGAGCATCAGGCATTCGGAAGCCAGAGGCTGTGCTCAACTCATTTTTTCAGTCAGGTCCCCAACTAATGGAATGGTGCCATCACATAGGGCAGGGCTAATGTCTCACCCAGGGGTCCAGAGTTTTGTCTCCTAAGTGATTAGATCCTGTCAACTTGTCATTGTCGTCTTTAAATGTGTAAGCAGAAGTTGTATTTTATCTTTTGGAGGAAATATGAACTATTTACTAGTCAGGAATTGTAAAGATCAAAGCAAAGGACAGTATCATCAGAAGTCATGGTGTGCCCAGAAAGTGGAATTTCCCCTAGGAAGCTGTCAGCGTTTGTCATCCGTTTATCAGGACCTGAGCCAGGCCTGGCTTGGACTTACCCAATAGAGAAGAGAAGAAAGATCTCTCCCCTGGGCTCGCACGGGGAAGTGGAACTTGTCTCACTACTTTAGTTTCTCCCTGCCAGACACTTCTGCCAATAGATAAGGCAGTAGGTTGGTACCTCCTTGAAGGAGGAATTCCAGAAAGAGCTCCTTAGCAGCAGTGAGACCAGTGTCAGAGACCATGCCCTTAGTGTCTGGGCTGCCACCAGGGGGCGCCAGTGGCATAAGCTGGCTGGCCAACAGAGGAGCCTAGTTGCTTCTTTTCCAGTTAGGATTAAGCCCAACTGTCAATAACAGAACAGTTAGAAGCACAGGAAAGCTCAGAAGCAAGTAGGCCAGGATGTTTATGGTGGTGCAGCATCAGGAATGCAGGCTTCTCAGCCTTTCTGCACTCTGCTCAGTTACTCCCTGCATTTTATTGTCCTGCTGTGGCTGCTGGTGTTTTATCCAACTGACTCCAGTTGGCAAAAGAGAAGGGGGGGGGGGGAGACTTCTCCTTAATTGCAGGGAACGCTTACAAGTGTATGGAAAACTTGGGTGTGTGGTCTTTTTAGCTTTGAGCCTATGACCACCTTGAATAAAACTAAGAATCTACTAAACTAGGGAAGACAGGGTGGTGAATGTATAACTGACAGTATCTGTTGGGCTCTCAGGATAGAGAGACTGTGGTACATGCCCTAGCTTTTACCCCTGTGACCTTGGGAAGATCCCTTCCCAAGTTCCAGGGTAAAGCTGCCCAGAGCGATGGGGCTGAGCGAGAAGGCTCCACAGCCCCTGTCTCTGTAAGTCTCGGAGCCGAGTGAGGCTGGGGATCAGGTAAGCACCTTAATGCATTCATGGTGCTAGCAGCCTACAGCAGTGTGTGTGGAAGAAAATGCTAGCAACAGGAGCTGGACGATGCTCCAGCATGAATAGTAGCACTCTCTTTAAATACCCCCTGTGCTTGAAGTGCTGCTCTGCCTTGACAGGATGTTGGAGGGTAGATACGATTGTGTTATGGGCACAATAACACATGTCAATGTGTCTCCATAACACATTGACATTTATTATTTTTAAAGTGAAAAATGACCCCTCTTACACATAAACATGTATTTGATCACCATACCCCAAATATGTCCAATCTCTGAACTGCTGGCCACTGAAGTTATCTGAGTTTATCTTATTCTCTTCCAGACAGTAACTCCAGGTTCAGGTTAGCTTCTCTGTTTTGTTCATTAGTGTATCTAGTATCCAGGACCTGCCAGCTGTACTGTAGGTCCCCATTAGTAAGTGAATGGTTGGGTGCGTTGTGATAAACTGACAAATGAAAAAATCCAAATGTTTAGTTAGGGCTGGTTAGACTCAGGCCTTGCTTCCTGCCTGTGAACTCTGTCTACTCCAGCCATGATGAAGTTAGGTAACTTGAAGACGTGGTGTTCTTTTAGATTGGTTACACTGATAGTTTTGTGGTTTTCAGGGCCAAGTGCTTTAGGTAACATCATAGAAGAGGTGACTCATCCCTGTAATCCAAATCCTTGCCCAGCCAATGAGCTCTGTGAAGTGAACCGAAAGGGGTGTCCGTCTGGAGATCCCTGCCTTCCGTATTCGTGTGTTCAAGGTAAGAGATGGGGGCTGTGAGTGAGATGAGCATGGGACATGGCTTCCTTAGAAGCTTCCTTAGAGGAGTTGTCTTACACCCAGGTTCCAGGGACGTTTTCTATGCTATCTTTTTATGTAATGTTTAAGGATTTTCCTACAAAAAATATTTATGCAAACAAAGACACATATGTTGATATTTGGTTTGTTACTATGTGTTGTAATGCTAAATACTGGCTCCCAAGGTCCGGTTGCCCCCGGGATGAGAAAATCCTCATGTACACGAAGTGATGCTGTGTAACTTTGCTCCTTAGTTTAAAACTATTGCCTATAGCTGGGCAGAAGAGGGGTAGGTGGGGTTTTGGTTCCCAGGCTTGAGGACCGGGGCAGAGACCATGAGGAAGAAAAAGAAAAGATGGAGAGAGGAGAAGATGCCATGGGGTAAGAGATAGTGAGAACTGGCTAATCAGAGTAAGAGTGGCCCGGGTAGAACATGACAAGTCATGTCTCAGGGTTATTAACAGGGAAGTAGACATAATAGCATGGAGGATAGTGTTTTAAAGGCTTATCATAAATACAAAGGTTATGTCTTTTATCTGGGAACTAAATGATCAAAGGCAAGGTAGAACCCCTGATTGAGATTAAGTAATTACCACAACACACATAAAATTTCAGTTGTCATTTAAATTGAAAACTAATGCTATCAATACCAACATAACTGTCATACTGAGTTACAGGGTTCTTGACTATAGAACAAAAGAGAAGCTCCAGCCAACCATTTGTACCTGCTCTTCCGTGATGTAATGTTTGAAAAACATTGTTCATGGCGTTCTTCTCTTCTCTGTAGCACATGGAGAAAATACCATGCTCTCTACGATACTTATCACCTCTGTAAGGCTGCAAATGTGGTGTTTGCCTAATGCAGAAAGCCTGGCATTCAGTCCCCAGCACCACAAAATGCTGAAGTGTCAGCAGGAGAGCAAGGTTATCCCAGCTACACA